GGCGGGAGCCGCGAGGGCGTCCTGCCGAGGAAGGAGCGCAAGGAGCTGTCGCTCCCAGAGAAGGTGCGGGTGCTGACCATGCTGGACGGACCCCGGGTGTCGCAGAGCGAGCTGGCCCGGCGCTTTGGCGTGTCCCAGCCCCAGATCTGCCGCATCCTCAAGAACAGGGAGCGCATCCTCAGCGCCTGGCGCCAGGATGCCAACCCCGGGCGCAAGCGCAAGCGAGGGGGGCCAGGCGCAGCCTCCGAGGCCGCCCTGCTGCAATGGGCCGAGGGCATGCGAGCTGCCCACCCCCCTGCCCCCCGGCCGGAGCCTGCAGAAGCGCTGCGAAAGCCCGGCTGGGACCCCGCAGGGCCGCAGAAGGAGGCTGAGCCGCCCCTGGCCGCGGGCTGGGCCAGCGCGGTGCTGCCTCACCTCCTGCGCAGCTACGCCGCCGCGGACATATACAGCTGCACGGAGACCAGCATCCTCATCAGGGCCCTCCCGGCGGGGGCAGCTCCATGGGGAAGGGGGCCAGGAGCCCGAGGCCGCCTGAGCCTCCTGCTCTGTGCCAACGCTGACGGCTCTGACAAGACGGACGTCCTGGCCGTGGGCCGGCGCCCAGCCCCGCGCTGCTTCGAAGGGGTCCGGCTGGCACACATGCCCTGGATGTATCGGGCCAGCCAGCTTCACGCCCCCCACGTCGTTGACTGCCTGCAGCGGTTTGACGCGGCCGCGCGGCAGCAAAGGAGGCACGTGGCGCTGCTCCTCGGCCCCTCCAGCGCCAAGTCCGCCCCGGCGCTGTCCCACGTGCGGGTGCTTCCCCTGCCCCCGGCCCGGCCGCTGGACCGGGGAGTTGTGCGGTATTTGAAGGGCCTCTATAGGAGGAGGATGCTGACACGGCACGAGGGGCTCGCCACGCTCCCGACGGTCTCGGACGCTCTCCACGTGCTGGCCCAGGCCTGGAGGGAGCTGCCCCGTGCAGTCATCCAGAGCAGCTTTCGAGCTGCCGGCTTCGGCTTGGACCGTGCCCTCCAGGCTCCCGCGCTTGGCACGGTGCAGGCGCCGCGGCCGGTCGGGCTGGAGCGACTCACGCTGCTGAACGCGGGGCCGGACGGGGTGGGTGTTACCGAAGGGGTCCTGTTGGGCAGAGCAATGGCCGGTCCAGCGGACGAGGAGGAGGATGAAGAGGACGACCCCCCCGCGCTGCCCTGCCCCTCCAAGGCGGAGGCGATGGAGAGCCTGGGCAAGCTGCGGCGGTACTTGGAGTGCCACGCCACGGCCCCCAGCCTGCTGCACGCCTTCTACCAGCTGGAGGACGCGGTGCACGCGGTCTGCCCCGGGACCCTGCAAGGTGAGGCCGCAACTGGCCAGGACTGAGAGCCAGCATGGACGCTGGCACCGGACTCCTGAGCGCTGCCCAGACGGCGACAGCTCCTGGTGCTGTTCCCGGAGGGGTTTCCCAGCTTTGTGCCAGTCGCTGCCCCATGGAGCTTACGGTCGGCTCGGAGGAGAGAGGCTGCAGGCAGGGAGAAAGGGAGCAGCAGTGCCGCTGAGGGTGGGTGACCGCAGCACGCGGCGAGGTGCCCAGGGTCACCCAGGGTCTGTGGCGGGGCTGGGACAGGGTGGCAAAGAAGCCCGTTCTCCCTCCTGTGCTTGTCCTCTCCACCCCTTTCCTGCCAACTTCACCCCAATTCCAGCAGGACGTGGTGTCCTCTGTCTCTTCCTGTCCTAAATCCTCACGGTGCATGGCCAGCAACCGCCTTTCACTGCTGGGCGCGGACCCCAACAGCGGGCGAGGGCCGCGGCATGAGTCTGTGTGTCCCAAGGGGATGTGGACCGGAGGCAATTAAAGAGCTCGTTTGCAATGTGTCCGAGTGAGTCCGACTGCCCCGTTCAGCTCGGGGCTCCGCATTTGAAGCTGGATGCGGGGTAGCTGGAGAGGGTCCAGCAGCGGGGCATAGAAAGGCCGAAGGGGTTGGGGTGCAGCTCTATGGGGAGAGCTGGGAAGAAGCGGGGACGTGACAGCAGAGGGGCCGTGGCCACGTGCTGTAGACCCCTTCAGACCCTTCCTGAGCCGGACAACACGGCCCTGGCAGCTCATGTCAAGAGACGCCGTGTGTTCTCCGGTGCTCCCGGAGCAGCCTGTGCAAGGGTTTGTCACCAAGGATACCGTGAAGAATCTGTGTTGCTATGGATACCGGCCCGTGGATCCAGGCTGCAGGGACATCCTCTGAAGGGTGGAGGAGAGGATGCCCCGGTACCCGGCATGGGGCTTTCCAACCGCTACCGCTCCATCCCGCGCATCGGTCGCTGCCTGCACGGCCCTCCCGAGGGGTGATTCCCGCGGGGTGGGAGACCCCTCCAAGGAAAAGAACCAATTTGGGGCCCGAGCTGGGGAGTTGCTGAGGCTTGTAGCCCCCCATGGATGTCAATGGGGAAGGGGAATTTAGCATCGATCCCTGATCAAGAAGGTCCCAGAGAAGGTGGCATGAGGCCACCCCGTCTCCCCCAGCGAAGCAGCTTGTAAGGCAGCTCCCCGGGGACCCGAATGCCTGTCCCAGCCTCGGCAGCAGTGAGAGCTGCGGGGCTTTCTTCCCCTGGCCTCGAAGCCACAAAGCCCGAGGACATCCCCGTCACGATGCTGAGCCACTCTCACGCTTTCCGGCGAGATGGGGTAGAGATGCCCAGGCTGTGGGTGCAATTGCTGGGGCTCCTGCCATATGTGTGAGGTCTCGGGGGCAGCTTGGGGGAAGGGGGTGGGCGGCTCCAGAGAGCAGGGGGATGCAGTGGGCACGGTCCAGCCCCGGCAGGATGACAGGCAGGTGTCTGTATCCTACACGGCCAAGTAACCTCCCCCAGGCCTGAGACACGAGGCTGCAGAGAGGGTGGGAGAAATCACAGCTTGGCTGCTTTTATCTCCTTTAATAGCCCGTGGACGGCTGTGAGGAGACGCGTCCAAAGTGGCTGCTACGTCTCCTGTGAGGCACGGCCCCCCGGTCCTGACCCGGTGGCGGGCTGGGAGCCCTGCTCCGGCAGCACGGCCGGGTTGGCGCGCAGCAGCAGGGCCCGGGTGCCGGGCAGGACCCCGCCAGGGAAGACGGTCTCGCTGCCCAGCAGCAGTTTGCGGAGGTCCTTGCTCTGCAGGGCGGCCAGCTGCAGGTGCCGCAGGGCGATGACTCCGTCCGGGCTGCCTCGCGCGGCCTTCCCGGCCCAGGCCAGGATCTGGGCCGTCAGGTACTGGGTCACGGCAGCCAGGTAAACCAAGGCTTCGCCTTTGATGCGCTTGATGCGCAGTTTCTGCCGCAGCATGCGCTCGAGCTGGTCCACGGGGAAGTGCAGCTGCTGCGGGGACGCCCGGGACGTGGCCTGCGCCTGGGACGTCTCGCTGGCCGTGTCCTGCCGGGACATGAGTGCGAATCCCTGCAGCAAAGCCGTGTCCCCGGCCGTGTCCAGCAGCGAGAGGCCAGCTGCGCTGGGCCCGGCCGAGCCTCGCCCATGGTGGAGCGGGAGGAAGGAAGGAGGAAGACAACATTCCGGTCAGCCGTATATGGACCAATCGGGAGAGCGATCCTTTATGAGGTCACGGAGGGACCCCATCTCTCTGTGATGTCACTGTCGTGTGAGGGCCGTGGGCAGGCGAAGGGAGGTCTTTCTCCACCAGCTCTGCTCCTTCCCTCACGTCTCATTGCACCCGCGCCCGTCGTGTCCGGAGGGGTGGGAAGGTGCCACCTTCCACCAGCCAGAGTGTCCTGCCCAGGCGGCACGGCTGGGTGCCGTCCCTGGACACCCCTGTCCAACACGCCCCTCCGCAAACAGCTGGACAGGACCCAGCAGCAAACAGACCCAGAGGACGGCGTCTTCCCTCCCCGGAGCTCCACAACGGTGGGTGCGTCC